GGACGTGTGTTCTTTAAAAATATTAGAATCCAATAAAAATATCAAAAAAATATTTCGTGAAAAATAAATTGACCAAAATAGCCCCAAAATATTTGAGGGGTATTTTAATCAATTTATATTTTGCAAATTATTTTTTATATTTTTATTAGGTGTGCCTTGCTTAGAAGAATAGACGACTAAAATTTCACGTGATTTGGATTTGTAGAAAAAAATTAAAATTAAAATATGAATTAAGGTCGTATTCATCAGATCGGCTCAGATTGAATCTAGGCTATTGGGCTCATATGTAGCGGTAGGCTAGTGGGCCTACGCCAGGATTTTCTATATATATATATATATAGTTTGTCTAGAGTTAACAACCCCTCAAAATATGATGGGTGTATATATCAAAACAATAATTACTTTTTCATTCAAAAATTATTTAAATAGAAAACTTTACATTAAGCAATGGCAAATTGGAAATTTTTACAAAAATAGAATGGCATTTTGGAAGTCAGTGTCCTGGAACTTTATTTGTAGAGTGCCTTTGTCTTTTAGTTAAAATTTCAATTTTACCGTTTATGGAGATGACAAAAATACCTTTTGTCTTGTAATAATATTTACAAATTTGCCCCCACAAAAGTAACTTCATTAAAAAAATAGACAACCAAATTAATAAATCCACCCTTCACAACTCACTCTATCTTGAACCCTTGTAATTTGAAGGGTTGTGAAGTTTAGAATATTCCATATATATATATATATATGGTGTGGTGCAAACCCATCAACCAGGCCTTCATTTGGGTACATGCATAAAAAGTCGTGCTTGAGAAAGCACACTACACATAACAAACTATGAAACAACCAAAAATGTGGAACCAAGCTCCAAAAGATAATATCAATCTTTGTGGTTATAGATTGATATTATTACAAAGCCCTGTTTGGTAGTGGAACATCAAAATCAAATATCTAATACTTGCAACAAAAATAGTATAAAGAGGCCATCAGTGCTTAATGTGCAAACAAAAAGGTTCTAAAAAGGAGCCGCCTGGCCGGCCTTCCTGCCCACCTAGGGGGCTAGGCAGGGTGCCTAGGCATTATGTGCCAACGAACCCGCCTAAGCACCTACCTCCAGGCAGAGTCTCATGACCTACGGAAAGAGGTAGGAAATTTGCCTCTGCCAAGGGCAAAAGGGTTTAGGGGCAGTTGCAAGCCCTCCCAAAACCTGTTTTCTTGTATTTGAGAGAGAGCTCCCAAAACATAGATTTTGAGATTTTCTTAAAGATTGAATTTTTTTTTTCAAAGTTTTTGATTTCGCAGAAGTAATCAATGCAGTACTTTTTGTGGGTCAATGTGGTTGTGAAAGAAGACTTTTGGCTCTCACTGGTCACCTATTCAAGCCAAGATCTAGTGCATATTAAAAGGTTCGTAATTGAAATCCTTTTGTTTATGGTTTATATGATATTCATGAATGTTTGGCTTAGTTTTTAATTTTTTTTCTTGTTCGTTTTTTTTTCTTGTAAATTATTCCAAGTTTAGGATTGGATTTGTGGCCCATATTCTTGATTGAAAAAGGACCAATAATATGAATTTGTTTTCTGTTTTTTTTTTTTTTTGGTATTTTATTTTGAGTTTATGTTTGGATTTGTGCCCCATATTCCATAGTCAGTTTTTGTTTGTGTTTAATGTCCATAGTCAGTTTTGGTTTGTGTTTAATGGCATTTTACTAAGATTCGATAAACTCAATCTTATAAAAAGCTCTGAAACTTAATTGAAATGGTTTATTTCTATTTTATTTTTTTGTTTGGGTTTTTGTTCTTGTACTCTCTTTTTTTTAAAGTTCGTGTTTCAATCTGTGCCCCATTTTACATAGATTTGGATAATTCGATCTTATTTTCAGAGTTTTTAATAAGTTTCAGAGTTTTTAAAAAGAAATACAAGAACAATCTGTGCCCCATTTTCTTTTTTTCGTTTTTTTAAGTTTATGTATAGATATGTGCCCCATTGTGGGATTTTGTTTGTGTTAGAAGCATTTCACTAAGATTAGGCAATCCAATCTTAGTAAAATCTCTGAAACTTAATGCAAATGGATTGTCGCTATTTTCAGTTTATTGGTAACCCAATCTTTTAGTTTTGTGAATTACTAATTATTTATCTAGGTTTGGTGACATTAGTATTTCAAATGTCATTGATTTATTTAGTGTTTTATCCTCGACCAATTGCTTGAGTTTTGCAAATCATTGAATACTATAATTCTAAAATTATCAATTACAAAGCAATTCTATTTTAATGAAGATTCAATTTGTTTTTAGGATTTGATTATGTGAAAACGTCTTCTTCTAGTTCTACCAAATAATCTGATACGTAGAATGTTGATTTTTTTTTTTTTTTTGCATTGGCTATGACGAACTGATAATGTTGAATGCTGATTCAGGAAATGGGCATCTTTTGATCTTAGTATTTGAATTTTAGACTCCTGAGTAATCCAATGGCAAATTCAGATTTGATATATGTATGCAATATGATGGATCATGGACTTATGTGCTCTGTTTGTATTTCTAAAAAATTATAGTTTCTAAGATCAATTGGAGGCAACCAAACCCCTTTTAAACACCTTTCATGGGGCCCAGACTCCCAAATTTCTTAGACGATCTGCCTAGGCGGCCAAATCCGCATTTTTCAGCACTGCCAACAAGAGACAAAAGCTCACCTGTGGAGAGAATGCAGAATCAAACCAATGCCCGGTTCCCTGAGTGTGCCCCATTCCCAAGGCCTGACAAACAGGCTGCAACAAATAAAGAGGGTTAGGTGTGAGAAGGAAAAACTAACATTTGTGCAATTAAGACTGGATCAGACCAGCTAGTTTAGACCGGGAACCGATGCCTCAATCAGTTGTTCGGGGGTCCCAAAAAAGTGGAATACTAAATCGGCATCGAACTAGAGAGTATCCACTTCGATGCCAACACCAATTCGATCAGTCCAGATCGAACCAGTAGCAGGTCAAAACCGGTCTGAATTCAGCCATATAGACTGGCCGTTTAGACTATTGAACCAATCAAACTGTTGTGATCTGGTCTGCTCCAACCGGTTTTGACCAAACTCTGTTAATTTTTACTTTTTTTGTTTATATTTTAGATCAGCCTGACTGGTGAATCAGTCAGTGCAACTGTTTTGGACGAGAACAATGCCCCCACTTATTCCATAACCGGTGGGTGATTCTGAAAAGTTGAGTATCAATCATTGTAAACAATCAAGAGCTTGCACAAAAACTATCTGCACCAGATGAATCTCTTATGAGGTATCATGAAAAGCAAGGCTTTCAGGGGAACGCAATTCTGCTAGACATTAAAATCTTTGCTTTCATGCAATTACATTACAGGGTAGCAAATGACTTATCCTCCCTAATACTTTAAGGAATACACAAAAGGGAAAAGGTGTCACAGATTCTATTTGCATTTTACATGAGAAAAAAAAAAAAAAACAAGAATGCATAAAAACAGGAAATAGAAGAATATGCAAGTAATAAGTAGTCAAGCCAATGCAAGCACACAGTAGGCTAAGAGAAACCCAAACCAAACGATTCTAAAAAATGATGGTACAGAATGCAGAAAAATGTATTATTATATACCAGAGTAAAAATGACTCATCAATATAAACATACTATGCGAGGAGATTCTGGTGGAGGCTTGTATGGGCATGTAAAAGGTTCTTCTGTCAAGAAGGGATGTAGCACAGCCTGTGTAAACAAAACACCTCAAGCTCCAAGCAATTTTGAAAACTAATATAACTGTTTGGAAGTCAAATAGAAACACTCACCTGTAAAGGTGTCCACCGTTTGACTGGATCAAACTCAACAAGGCCCCTCAAGAAGTCGATCAGTGACAGACGTGCCAACTTTTCTGTAACATTCAGGTTGGCCAATCATAACAATTCAACAACAAATAAGACATAAATTGTTACACATCAAAAGGCCATTTACCATCATACAACTAATTTCTTTATTAGATTTTTGTAACTAACAAACTCTTTATTACACATCAAAAGCCTATCATAATCATAATAGTTCATTCTCAAGGAGGTCAACACTGAAGTCACAACCAACCTCGGGAGATATCTTCCTCAGGCATGTTCTTCCTAAGGGGGTATCTATTAACGATGTCCTTAAGCTTCACATAACTGAAGTATTGCTTCCCCAATACCGGTCTTTTAAGCTCCCTCTGAAGTAGATCCCATAAACCAAAACAGAAAAATCCATAGACAGGTAGGGGTAAATAATAGACACAAATTTCTTAATTCAATAGAGTTTCATCTGCTATGTACAACACCGCAACCAAAAGCATATTTGCCTGACAAGAAATAACTTTATAGTACAATGATACATATGGCCACACTCACTGCTTCATACTCTTCTTCAGTTAAGAGTCGATATCCACTCTGGCTTCCGTGATTGGCTTCATCATCATCGGGATAAGGAAGGCAACTGACGTACTTGAAGAGCTTGTTAGTGTTTTTTGAAACACCTAACATATGATCAGGGGGCTGTCCCCTGCATAAAAATAGTCATATAAAAATAGAGCTAAAGCAAAACTACAGCAGTTCTAAAACAAAGGAATAAATGCAACAATAGAACACAGCAGTTTCTCATTCATGACATAAAATCATAAACTCAGAACCAAGAACTTGAAGTATCAAATTACGTTAATCATTTTTGGAGTATCAAATTACATTCTTCAATTAATCATTCGTGAAGTCACATACACAGCTGCAAACTATACTTGCTTATTGATTAGGGTTGCTTAAAGTTCATTATACTTGCTTATTGATTAGGGTTAGGGTTGCTTAAAGTCATTCAGACCCAGGTACGGGTTTTCAAATTCCTTGTGCCATGAAAATAGGATTCGTAGACATGGTTATATCATAAGGAGGCAAAACAAATCTGACCTTATTTGCTAGTACTCCATTTCATGATGAGTAGTGAAAAATAATAATAAATTAGGCCATGCTTTTGCTAATCCATAAACGTTTTCAATGTTCAAACATGCCTCTAAGAAAACAAAAGAACATTACAAGTCTCTATCTAAAGTTTCCAATGGTCAGTGAAGGAGAAGAAGAACCCAGAAAATTGTAGTATGGTGTCGATGTGAGTGCAACATGGGTAACGCACCCAAATAGAAGAATCCATGTAATATAACCTGGGCTGAAGGTGAGCACATAAGGGGCATCAAAGAGTGTTTGACATGAACTTGACTTAGATATGGCGACCGGTCTTACAGGGTAGCTGGAGAGCTAAAGTGTTTGCAATGGACAATCACAAATCAAGCAATAATTAAACTGCTTATGACCAGGGAAAGTACACGAATAATTCCAATTTTCTACCTCGGTATTTATTGGGACTATAGGATTATTATTATTATCCACCCAAAGGAAAGACAAAAATTAATATCCACCACAGCCATAGCTGAGTGAAGAGATTAAGGAAAATTATCACTTTCAGCCAAGATGGATCCAGCCCAGAAACATATAAGAGTATTTCATTTAATATTTATTGCAAATATGCAAAAAAATATGATAGACAAAAAATTATCGCAAATATGAAAAAAACCAGTTAATATGTATTACAAATATGCAAAAACTTATGATACATGCAAGCACACATACATGTCGACACACTCATGCTGACACAGATTTGCATCAGATGTATTTACAAGGCATCTCATATGTCATATCATCATGTTTGCAGTATTATACACATTTAAATTCATGCCATAACTCCACATGCACCTCCAGCCAATCACTATCAATCAGTTCATCGCTGCAGATAAAAATCACTTGGTGGTTGTTCGAGCTCAAAACTACAATACAGGAAACATTAACCAAGGGGTACAATCTTGTAGCTTATGAGTTCAGCAACCAGTTCGACTGTTAAATTTTCATCAAATGTTGATTGATTCAGGAAATAAACGAAAAACCATCTCATTTTTTGTAGAAAGAGTAAATTAAGCATCGCGGATTTCACCACAGGATTTGCCAATGAACGACGCTTTATTTCTCACATTCCACGGCAAACAACCTTGGCCAGCATTGGAAATATGTTGTAGCAAAGCACTTCAGAATGAAGACAGAGAAATGCATTACACACTTGTGTTGTAAAGCACATTCTTCAGCACATTATACCTAATGCTTCATGCATCATTTGAAAAGTAACACAACTCTAAAACCATACATAGGACTACACACTACCAGGGGTTACTAAAGTTACAAATCATCATCATCGTCGAAGCCTATTCCCAACTAGGTCGGCTACACGAATCCTGGTCCGTCATTCTGCTCTATTAAGGGTCACAACCTCAGTGAAACCATAAGTCCCTATATCTTTTCTCACTACTTCCAACTATGTTCTTTTAGGCCTTGAACTAACAAGCACCTCCTAACAGGTGTTGCACGGGGTCTACGCCACACATGGCCAGCCCACCTAATTCTACTCTCTCTCATCTTATGGTCACTAAAGTTACAAATAAAAATAAAAATTTAAGAAACTTCCAATGCAAAGAACCTATATATACACCAAAAAATTGACAAAATAATGAGCTTTTAGGCCTGAAAACTTTCAAAAGTTCAAGATATATAATATATAATATAGAAACCTTATCAAAATATTTACACGTGTTTTATTGTTTATGCCTAGCAGTTAACAACTGCGAGAATAGAGAAATCTATCTTCTTTTAACATTTAAAACAAAAAAGTATACTACACAATACAATACATTTTAAAAGAAAAAAAGCACATGGAGAGGGATTCGAACCTCAACCCTCATAGGGAAGAACAAAAGCTCCAACTACCAAAACCGTTTGTGCTTGGCGTTACTAATTCCATGCATTACTTATTAAAACTAAATGAACTGCTGATTCAGCCCAAGAACTGGAATGTTCTTGGGTGATTTCCAATCTGGATCGGAGATTTGCGATCCGGATTGGAAATTTTCTTAACAGTGGGCTCCATGAACACACTCCATCAAAAGTTTTCCCTCTAAACAATATGGACAATGTAGCCTTCAACATCTAGTAGAATTGAGACGATCAAGTACCTCAGGAAAATGATAATGAAAATCTATAGAGAAATATTTCAACCTTGAGAATGAGTATGGAAAAGCTCACAGATTAAGCCATGTTGAACCAAAATCAACCAGCCCTAGTTCTCATTTAAAATAGTTGCTAGCTGAATAAGACTGAAAACTTCATAGAAAATAAAGAAAACGACGACTGAACAAAAGAACCAATATGTCCTAAGAAAAGCATTTCTCATTCAGAAGCTCTTTGCCAAAAGAAAACTCTGGAGAAGGTATTGACGAGAAACAGGGAAACTATTCAACCAAAATCTACCACCGCATCAATCCTTGGGAGTTCTTCTCAAGCTGCAGAGTTTCCGCAGATTACCACCTTCCATGAACTGATTAGTTATTATATTGCAGCTTCTGGTCCCGACCAGCGCATGAACACTGCAGATCATGCATACCTTCGACAAAACAATCACAAAATTCCTCTAAAAGCCAAAGTCCACTTCCCTGATAGTGTAAATGAATCATTCTGAATCACAGAATGTCATGTACCATGGAAACATTAATGGTAACAAGCGGATCTTAAGACCTAACTTCCCAAGCGATAAATGAATAATGTCAGATGAAGAGCCAACCAAGTTTGATTTTGAAAAAACAAAAAAATGCAAAAACAAAAGTGTAATCACACATTTCCAATGAGTGATGGCATGATGTTGTCAAGGTCAAATAAGCATAAAATACTTTTCTAACGTTTGACTATAATTCACTCGCTAGTTTGCATAAATAAAAAAGGTAAAGACCTCTATCCAGGCATGTAAGCAGATAATATACTTACCCAAGAGTCTCTATCATTCGCTTGATAAGATCATACTCGGAAGCTCCTGGAAATAATGGCATCCCTAAGAATAATTCTGCAACTATGCAGCCAAAAGACCACATGTCAATGGCCGTAGTATATCTGAGCAACAAGAGTCAAGCATAACACAATAAAATCCCAAAAGATGGACACTACTTTTTTCTTAATAGCATATATATTAACCCAGAATTAACCAAAAATAAAGATCAGATCCACCTTTTGATATTTTCATAAAACCCGACAACAAGTTTATACTTGTGTCACTGAAGCCAAAAAGTAGGGAGAATGCATGCATCTGAAGATATACTCATAACTAAAATAAGATACCAAGTTCTAGTATCAACCAACGAATAGTGTATTAACAGATCAAAATGACTTCATTTAATGCACCAAGGATACTGATAACCAAGAAGAACTTCCGGAGATCTGTAGTAGCGGCTCTGCGAGAAATGGAGGCATTCAGTCATAAACCAACTGATCAAGAATCAAGATAACATAGGAGTGTATGAGTGTGTCACCTTAAAATTCTAGTTCAGAAGTATGGAAAGTGTATCAAAGTTATGCTAACCTGAATATAAGAGTAAACAGTCTGAGTCTCATAGCAGGCTGACCCAAAATCAATAAGTTTGATTGCTGCTTGCAAGCTGCTGCAAAGTCCAAGAGACTACCGATTCAAGTTTAAATGCACAGAAAAGGGCCCGACCACATATCCAAAATAAATATAACAAGTGACTTACGATGTTGACACAAGTATATTTTCTGGCTTCAAATCACAGTGTATGATACTAGCATCTTTCATTACAACCAGCGCTTCTAATATCTGAGCAACAAATAATAATGCATTCTCTTAAGACAATGAACAAAACTTCAATCACCGCTGCTTTCGATTATAAAAGCCAACGAGATCTCAGGCAATGAGAGCATTTATTGTACCAGGAAATGAACTAATAGAAAATGAAATACCTGTTTAGAAAACTCCCTCACAATGGTCAAAGGTAACCCTCTGTATTGGTTCATTTTGATAAGTTCAAATCTGTCAGGTCACAGTGGTATATAGGAAATCATATAATGTGGATATGTGCATAATGATAGTCCACAAATGCCAAATGGTATAAAACAATCGCATGCCATACTGGCATCCAGTGTTTTAAAACTCGGGATTGCGACCCAAATCTCCCTTCTGGTGAACTTATCTGGATCAGGACTCTGATCTGGATCAGCCATTTCTCTAGGGTCATTAAAATATTTTGATATTAAAAAAATTACAAAATTAAGTTTGGTGGGAATCGCCCAGTTATCTGACCCGGATCGCAGGTTCTTCTAACCCAATCACTAGGGTACTCTGACAGAACCAGCCAGTTTCTCCAAATTGGACCGATTAGCCAAGTCTCAATTTGCACCTATTCCTGTCCCGTAAGGGAACTGGGTCAGTTCCTTGCCAATCCCGATCAAGATCGGCAATTCACAATCCGTATTGGCGATTTTTAAAACACTGCTGGCAGGAAACAACTACATTGTAGTACTCAATTTCACTATAAAAAAACAGAAAAGCTATAAGCTGATAAGAAACTACAAGATGGTAGCTTACAGATTAACCCCAAGCATTTCAAAAGAAATGCATAAATGACTTTGATAAACAAAACAGTCAAGCATGCGAACAATATGATGCTTATCATCAGGATCATATCTGTCATTTAGCTGCAGAAGTACAAAAAGATTCCAGCCAGTGAAAAGGAAGAATTTGCTGCCACGAATAATACATGTTTGACCAATATAACATTTGAAGGACAAGTAAACATAACCATATCTTACCGATTTCAATATGGCAACCTCAACAAGTGCCTGGTGGTAATATGCAGGCTGGTTCTTAATAATCTTAACTGCAACATAGCTATTGGTCTCAGAGGCCCAGCACTTTGCAACTTGTCCAAAAGTTCCCTGGCCAAGGATTTCTTTGACTATGTACCTACTATGCAGGCAAGGGTCTTATATCATCAACTAGCAGGACCAGAAAGAAAAAGCAAGCAGACAATGTTCTCATGACTTTATTACTTCACTTTGCATGATCAAACTGAATCCATAAAAGAATAATTCTGTTCACACACAAACAGGTCAATAATTAATTTATTACTATATGAATTCATTCATAAATCAATTAATTAGTATGCAAAACTCGTCATCATGATAAACATTTGCAAAACTCAGACCAAGTTGTAGGAAGTCTATTGAAACTCATTAAACAAAATTATAATCAGATAATGTGATCTAATAGTAACAAGCCTAACAATAAAGGAGATAATGCTGCTCATACACACGCACAATCATCATGGTCAATCCATAAGAAATAAGAAGTTCAATATCACACGCAGTGAACCACACAATGTGAGACATAACTTCTTCACTAAATAAGAAAAGACCATGCGATATTCCCCGCACTCAAAGTAACGCAACACCAATCTACGGTATGATACAAGGAGACAAAATAGTCTTCCCTGTGAGAAATGTAGTTAATGTGACAAATTCATTTCACGTTAAGTACCAGGACATCTGCTTAGCTTCTGGAACAATATTTATTTCATGACACTAACCCCACCACTTCCCCATGTTAATTGTGACATGCAGGAAGGCCATGACATCTCCATAGCATCTTCTGATTCTCTAAAGTTCCAATGTTACTTTAATCATGTAAGAGTATGGCGCACAACAATATAACCTCAAGAATATATAATTAGATGGCATATTTAACAATAAATTAACACTGCAATTCAATAAACAAAGCCATGGATCCCAAGTGATCTGAGACTACTCTGTGAGGGAACCATAGTTGTTGGAAACGCCTAGGAACCCGAATCATTTTAGGAACCGGAATTGCTAAATCATGGTTGGCTAGAAGATTCCTGTTTTAGGAATCGTTGTCTGTACAATAGGAATCGCGGGGAATGAGATTCTTGGTTTTTGAGAACCGAAGTAGATCGAAGTTTCTTCCACATATGGAATCGAGATTCCGTCCTCCTTGGAATTGAGATTCCCATCCCCCTAGAATCGACACCCCAGGAGTCAAGATTCATTAATATGCGAAATCGAGTTTCCGACATCTTTGGAATTGAGTTTCTGACATTTGTTGAACATAGATATGCTATTTTGAATCATGATTCTAAAATATTTGGAATCAAGTTTATGAAGTATATGGATCAAAGATCCATGCCAGTGTGAAATAGAGATTTACAATAATATGGACTGTGGAATACGTTTGGTAACCACTACTAGGAATCAAGATTTCATTTTTATGGAGAAGGAAGCAACAAGCACATCATGAGCCTCATCAACTTTAGAATCTACATTGGATGTCTCTTATTAAAAGGTTCCCCAAATTTTAAAGTGATTGTGTTGACTATTGAACTTACGGTGATTATATACAAAGACGAGTATTTCTAAATTGTGATTTAAACTTCATTATTATAAATACAAAATAGAATTTTGTCTATGCCATGGTTTTACTTTTAATTGTATGTTTTGCATTTACCAGTTATATTTTAAATTTAAAGTAAAGGTCATCCAGGGTGGCACAACTAAAAAATGAAACCTTACAACCACTAGAAGCATTTGAAGGAAGATTTCTACTCCAATTGACGTGGAATCAAGATTTAATCCTCGCTGGAATCCAGATTCGATATATTTGGGAACGTCTACCCACAATTAATGGGTTCAAGTTTCTAAAGATGTGTTGGATCGAGATTCTGAAATTAAGGAATCGAGCTTCCTTGGTTTCGATAAACGGTGTTGAATCGATATTCCAAAATTCAGGAATCGAGTTTCCTTGGTTCCGAAAAATGGTTTCCGTGGAGATTAAATGCAAGGTCGATGGAAAGATTCTGGTAACTATGGAGGGAACACTCGGTACTTAACTATGCGATGCGTAGGAGTTATGGTAAAAAATAACGCAGGTGTCATATAGGCAGCCTTGGCACCAACTAGTCAACTTTTAATCATGTAAACATATCTGAATACCTTTTGCTGTTTTCCACAAGCTAGATGTAAACCTAGAATGAAAAACCTCTATCCCGAATTCCTAATACCACCTCATCATGATCATTGACTTCTTTTCTTGGACAATATTCAATATGTATAAAACCAGAGAAGGAACTTTACATAGTCATAGAAAAAAGGCAATCTACAGGAATACTGCACTTGACAATCACGGATAACCGGATACCCAAGGATGGGGTCTATAAGATCCCCCAAAATCAGAAAAGATGGGTCTGGTGGTCATCTAGATAAGAAAGAAGCAAAAAAAATGGGCTATCCAGTCCCACGACTACAAAAAATGGTGGGAATATGATCCTCACAGGATGACAAAAGTAAGCAAGAGCTAAGTGACACCAGTGGGTCACCCTGAAGCGCCCTCTTTGGCTAGAGAGTCAACAATCTGGTTGGCCTCCCGCCAGTTGCGTTTGAAACTGACCGTACGTGCCAGCAAAGGTAAAATACATGCTCAAACAATGGGGTAGTCTTCAGGGACATTGGGCTCTTTTGGACATACATAGCATGACATACATTGAGCCTCCCTCCACTACATGGGAATTGCCATAGCTCCCGCTTTGCTAAAGACCCTCTACGATCCTTCGAGCAGGGCGGTGGTATTAGTCATTGCTGAATCCACAATGCCAATGTATCATAAGTAAGACAAAATTGTATTTCCATGCCTGTCTCTGAGTCTTCCATTGAAACCAGGTGGTCTAGGGTTGCTGAGGGAGAACCTGTCAACATTTAGCTTGGTGGACCCTAGTCTGGGGAGACTCCATAACCTTGATCCTGGGATAGCTGAGGATCTGAATGAGAGGATGCCCCTCCAATTTGTTGAAAGATCAGCAGCCACCAAGGCATTAGTCCAAAAAATGGATGATTTGATGCGATTTTCGATGACATGGAATCTGGACTCTTTGCCCTCGAAGTACCGCCAGTTCCTTTCCCACCATATGGTCCAAAATCATAGTTGATGGGATCTGGAATAGAATAAGGAACGGGATGGGGATTGGGATTAGGAATCAAGAAGGCTAGAAGATCCCAACAATTGAAAGCCCTCTCATACAAAGCAATTTTAGGGATCGAGAAGCGATCTCGATCCCAATCCTTTGGGGATCTCAATCCTGACCTTTTGGGACATCCATCCCAATCTTTTCCGGATCTTGTTTTTCAACTCAAAAAGTGTATGTAATAGGGGTCGCTTTATTTTTTTTTGAAGGATTTCACTTTATATTTATATATAGGTATACAAAAAATCTCGTGAATTTGAGGCAACCACACACTGATGCCTTGTACAAAATGAACAAATATGAAATGTCAAAAAACAGGGTCGGCCACCCACACATCAAGTGCTCAACCTCAAAATATCCAAAAAATCACACGTGTGGCAGCCCATAGGCCGGGTGCTCAGCACACTCAGGGTGGCAGTCTACATGGCAGCCCATAGGCCGGGTGCTCAACTCACACACTCAGGGTGGCAGCCTACAAGCATGGTGCTCTCACCCAAGAATCAAAAAATTGGTCTGCAACCAGTAGGTGGGGAAGGGAAGAGGGAGAGATGGGGAGAAGAGAGGATAGAGCAGGGCTGGGGGGACGAGGGGCAGAGAGAGAGAGTTTGAGACATTGAGAGCGGGAGAGAGAAGGCAGAGAGAAGGCAGAGAGAGAGATAGATGGGGAGAGAGAGCAAGAGAGAGGGGGATCAAGAGTGAGAGATAACAACAGAGAGAAAGATTGAGAGTGAGAGATAGCATGAGAGCGAGAGGACAGAGAAAAAAAGAGACTTTAAAGAGAAGAAAAATGGATAGGAAGAGAACAAATTTACCAAAAAAAACATAGATCAATAGACTGAACATGGGCTCTTGCTTTTCTGAAGCGGCAGGCAAAACTAGCAGCATCACCCTTCCCTTTGCCAGAACATCTGCTGTGGTATTGGCCTCCCTCCAAATATGATGAAAGCCTACTCCAATAGAACTTATTCTATACAAAAGCCACCAAGGGTCAAGAGACATCCTCTGAAACCATAGAATAACATTTTGAGTTTCCTTCCACAATCAGGTTCTGCCCCCAAGAAGGGTAAAACCTTGAGAGTCATTCCAAAACTGCCTGAGCCTCAATTAGAGTCACCATGTACGACAGGACCCTTAAATGACAACAATATATTAGCCTCTACATCTACGAAGATACCGCCAAAGCCATAGGGACCATGGTTACCCAAAGAGCGGCCATCGAAGTTCAGTTTGATATAGTCATGGACCAGGGAAGACCATGAGGAGGATCCAGACTGCCTGGTCGGTCAGAAGTTGAGAATGTCCTTTCAGTTTGTCATAAAGCCAGACCTAGAGAAGTGCTTGAGGAGCTTGTGATTGGAAGCCCAAAAGATAGTTGTGCTACAGATTTTGTCCAAGACCCCAGAAATTGGTTAGTGGATACCTTGGAAGGTCCTAGAATTACTTTCATTCCAAATATTCCATTAGGTGGCCAAAATAGTTGCTCTCCATCGAAAACTGCCCGCCTTAAGATAGGGAGTAACCCACTCCCAGCTTAAATCCCTAAGATAAGAAGCCCAAATAGTTCCAGCAAAGGAGCAGTGCAAGAAAAGATAACAATGGGATTCCTCTAACCTCTAAACAAAGGCAGTAGTAGTTTGCGAGAGAGAAACCTCTCCATTAGAGTTGATCAATGGCTAAGACTTGGTTACGATTTGTAAGCCATCCAAAGAGAGTTGAGGGTGGAAGTATTGCTAGAGTTGTTTACAAGGGCCCCACAAAAGAAGCTAACATTGAAGGTTCCTAAATAGGAGAGCGTCCATATGAGCCTGTTAAGTGCAATGGTATTTGTGTAAAAATTCAAAAGGAGCCTGTGGAGAACTAAGAATTTGTGGTTTCAATATCATTGAGGGAACCTTCGAAAAGTTGGGTTCCACAGCAGCAGTTGATTAAAGGATTC